CCTTGGAACCTGAAATCTGAACTATATCCCCAGCAACACCTTTAAATTGTGGCTATAGTATACATAATGTAAAATTTACCATGTTAACCAGGTTTAAGCATACAACTCATGGCATTAGGATTTTCATGGCTGTGCAACCACCCCACCCCCACCCCAAGCATACGCTATGTTCTAGACAGCCTCTGTCACGATTTCCAATACAAACCTTGGCCAAAAGCTTCTAAACTCTCCAGTCTCCCTTTTAAAATAATGATACTTGGGCTATGAGATGTCTCAGCAGGTAAAGGAGCTTGCTGCCAAGCCCAAATATATTGAGTTCAGTTCCCAGGATTCACATGGTGGAAGGAGAGAACTGACTGCACTTATCCTCTGATTTCCATTAGTGCACACTGTGCGAATTTGCTTTCTTTTGATGTCATAAACACCAGGACTGAAAGCAACTTGGGGAGAAAAGGGTTTATTTGGCTTACAGGTCTCAGCCCATCATTGAGGGAAGTCAGGGTAGGAATTCAAGCGGGAGCTTGAAGGTAGGAACTGAAGCCATAGAACACTGCTCACTAGTTTTCTCCTCATGGCTTGTTCAGCTTGCTTGTTTTCTTTTCTTTTTCTTTTTCACACTGCTCACTAGTTTTCTCCTCATGGCTTGTTCAGCTTGCTTGTTTTCCCCCCTTTCTTTTCTTTTTCTTTTTCTTTTTTTTTTTTTTTTGGTTTGGTTTTTGTTGTTGTTTTGTTTTTTGTTTGTCTAGTCAGGGTTTCTTTGCATAGTCCTGGCCATTCTGGAACTTACTCTATAGTCTAGGCTATCCTCAAACTCAGTGATTTACCTGCCGCTACCTCCTGAGTTCTGCGATTAAAGGCATGCACCACTATTGCCTGGCCCTCAGTTTGCTTTCTGATATGACCCAGGAGACCACCTGCCCAGGAATGGCATCACACCAGTGGGCTGCATCCTCCACACCAATCTTTAATCAAGAAAAAATGCCCACAGGCCATTCCAATGCAAGCAATTCCTCAGGTTTATTCTCTTTTCCAAATGACTCTAGTTTGTGTGAAATTAACAACTAACCAGCACACACACTAAATAAATAAATACTAACAAAATAATGATGCTAGGCTGGGGACACAAATCAGTTTGTTGCTTTCCTAGTGTGCACAAAACTCTAGGTTTGATTCCCAGTGCCACAATAAAACAACAGTAACATGGTAGTACATGCCTGTAATGCCAGGACTTGAGAGGTAGAGGCAGGAGGATCAGGAGTTCAAGGCTCTTCTCAGCTATGTAGTGAGTTTGAGGCCAGCCTGGCTACATGAGACCCTCTCTCAAAAAAAAAAAAAAAAGAAAGAAAGAAAGAGTAAAATGAAAATTAACGAGCAAAATGGATAAGACTCTAATTCAATAACTACAAACAACTAAAACAGTGGTAAGACACCAGGTCCAGCCATTAAGACGACTGCTAGGACAAGAAAAGAAGCCAGAACAAGTGTGGGTGAAATCCTAGGGTTGGTGGGAATTTAAAATGGTGCTGCCTTTTCGGAAATGAGAGGTCCTACAAAATGAAACATGGACCACCAATTAGGAACCTACGAAAAGGTGTCTGCACCCCCCTCAGGGCAGCGCTGCTAGCCAGAGCCACCCGACGAGTTCCACAACTGCCCCACCCTGCCATGCACACTTGCATGCATATATGTGCAGCAAAGTGCAATACAATAATTATAAACAATACAAAGACAGATTGCTGCAGGTGTCTAGCACGACACCAGGTAGGCAGTGCCACTGGGCTGCTTACAGAGCGTGTGAGGACAAGGTTTTGCCACAACCCTGACTGCCCCTAACCCCATGAAGAGTGACATGTCACAAGATCTTGGGATTGTAGCAGGGGGTGGAGGCCTTTGGGGGAGAGCTGCTGGATCTGAGGCTGTAGCTTAGGAAGCCTCCCATCCAGTTGCCCAAGCCTCAGAACCCCATCACTTATGAGGCCACCTCTACTGCCTGACCCATACCTACCTGCCATGTGGACAGCGCGATCTCAGCTCAGGGCAAGCTGGGTTGCAGCCTCACCCGGGGAGGGGCAGCCAGCGACACTGGGTTGGCTTCTTAGCTCAGCAACACACCTCACTCCCAAGTGTGCACAGGTCCTCAGTTCAGTACTGTCCTTCCCGCCTCGATTGTCTTCTGTCCGAGCTCCTGGCCAAGGCTTTTCCTCCCGAGCTGGCACTTGGTCTGGATGTTCATGAAGTCTGGCTCTGGGATGCTTGGGTGGAGCGTCTCCAAAGCACCACTGATTGTAGTGTCTGGAGCTGGGCCACTGGCTGGGTTTAGCTCCAGGGGCAGGCACATGTGGAAGGGGGCTGGTGGGGAGGTTGTGACGTTGCAATGCTCCCCCTCTCCTCTCCTCTCTCCCTTCTCCAGCTAAGAGCCCCCCCAGCTATTGCTGATCAATGGGCCCCAGTGCAGGTGGGGGTGGGGTGCCATCTTGAGAACAGACAGCCTGGTGTCCACAAGGGCCAGGATCTGGTTAGGTGAAAGGGCTGAAGGGGAGGCAACAGACAGATGGCAAATGAGAGCTAAGTGCAGAGGTGATGTCCTCCCTTCTAGCCTAAGACCCCAACCTACTGGTATTGAATGGGGCAAGGGACAAGCAGGAAACATAAGAGAGACAGGGAGGGCTCCAGATTGGGTAATAAGATATTCAGATCCTCCTGCCAGTCCTGATTGCCTCAGTTTTCCTGACTTCAATGAATAATCAACTGCCTGAGATAATCCAGCCTTAGCTGAAAACGGCATAGCAGGGGTCATGTCCTCGCCTGATGGTCACCTGTCTTCTCCATTAGGGTAGACTGAGGCAGGTTGTGTATACACTCTACCCTCTGGTTCCTCTCCAGCCTTGCCTGGCACCTCCTCCAAGCTTCCCCATCTGTCCTGAGGGGAACCTAGTCACAGCCCCGGGATGGGCTGTTCCCTAGCCTGCACTTCCTTAGCAGAGGGCACCCTTTGACTAGTGGCCTGTACTAAATGGCCCATAGAAATTCACCTGTCCAGGCCACTGTTAACCCATCCTGGATGGAATATCTAGTCCTCCTTAGAGTCTGGTTCGGGAAGGCTAGGTTCACAGAAGCCATGGTCTCTGCCAGAGCCAAACAAGGGCAGGACCCAAACCCATGGCTGGAGGGGTGCTTCTCTTTAAGTGTGGTGCTTGGGGTTCAGGCTACTAGCTCTGCCTCTCCTGCCACTCATTCAATGCCCCTGGATCTCAGATTCCAGCCTGTGCATGTACATGATACACACACACACACACACACACACACACACACACACAGAGGGTGGGGGGGATGGCAGGCACACACACACACACACACACACACACACACACACAGAGGGTGGGGGGGGATGGCAGGGGGATCCCATCCTGCACAGATCCACATTCCAGGGGATCCCACCCTGCACAGATCCATACTCCACTATATGGAGGACATTGACATTGGCTGTTGAGCTTTCAGGTAGGCAGAAAAGGGGTGCTGTCTGCAAGTCAAAGGGCACCAATATCTCCCAGGAGCCTCCAATGAAATGTGCCCCAATCCCTCCTGCCCAAGAATTCAATGTGATTGGTGGGAAGTAGGGGAGACAAAGGAGAGGTTAGGGGGCTCTGTCCCAGTCTTTGCAGCGCCTCCTCAGCCCAGATTCCCAGAAGTGGGCCAGCCTGGGGTTCTGTTGGGTCCTGATGTATATGTGTGTATTTGCCTTTGATAAATGTAATGAGACAAACACACACACACACACACACACACACACACACACACACAAACATAGAAATACTAATTCACATGCCTACATGCACATTCATGAACTCAGAGGCCCACTCATGACAGGACAGTGGATAGAGCTTGTGTGTGTGTGTGTGTGTGTGTAGTCTCTCCACACAGGGGACATAGCCCTGCACATGAACACATGTACACTGTGCGAGGCAACACATCCTGTACCCCTCCCTAACTGACCTGCCTTCCTGCCTCAGGCTCTGGCTGGCCCACACTGCCCTCTCATCCATCTTGCCTGCCAGCTGGTCCCTGGCGTGCCCATATCCTTCACACCTTCTCATCTCACAGCTCAATACCAGGAGGCAGCATGGCAGCCATGGCCGCAGGGAGATGAATGGGCCAGGCAGACTGCGGAGGCCCAGAAAATCAGGGCTGCAGGAGGACATAGTCTGGGCCCCAGCAACCTGAGCTTTCCTGGGTGGTTTGCAATGCTATGCCTGCCCAGGAGGGCTCCTGGGTGAGGACAAGGGGGACACCACTAGGACCTTGCATTAGAGCTAGGGAGCCAGGGTGGAGTTGGAGGTCAGTCCTGTCAGGGCAGGCACAGAGAACAGGGTCCTCTCAGATTTCAGTTCATGTTCAGTCCCCTGATGCTGGTGGGTGGGAGGAGGTGGTAAAGGGACTTTGGCTTCCTTGGTTTCTGGTAGGCTTCCTTCTGCCCTAACCCAAGCCATCTCCTGGAGTACCCTGCAGCTGGGCCATTGTCCTGGGTATACCTCTTCTGCATCCTAAATCCCTTTGAGTTACCCAGAAATTTGCATCTAGGCCATGTGCTTACCTACATACAGATTGCCTCAGAAGAACACTTGTGGGCCCAGTACTCTTGGGAACACACACATATACTAAGAACACTTGGGTAGGCACATACCTGGACCAGCACAGCTATACACACTTAAATGGGCACATGTAAGGGGGCTGGAGATCCTTCTTGGGCTCCTGGAAGTCCCTTTCCAGTTCTTTCTCCACATATAGGATCACTCTCTATTTCCAGGATGTGTGGCCAAATATGGGCACAGAGATTGCTACCATTGGTCCCAGGTCCAAGGTTACACTGGCTGGCCTTTCCCTCAGCTTCTCCTTCAGGGTGTTATGCCCATTATGCCCTGTCCTGTGGGCATCCCTACCCTCCTCCACCCACCTCCCTAGTCAAAGAGAGGCCACGCTGGATAGAGAACAAGAACCATGACTTCTAGGAACATTCCATTTTATATCATGGGATCAGTTGTCTGACAAGGGACATGGTGCCCAGAGTAGGACAGGGAACCCTGGGCCTGGAACTGTGCCTTGGGACCCATTGTTCAGGTAGTGAGATTGAGACCAGGCAGGCATGACTTGGGTTAGGGAACCAGGGTGGAGCTGGAGGTCAGTCCAGGCAGGGCAGGCACCGAGACCCGGATCCTCTCAGATTCCAGGAAAGCCACGTTCTTCTCATAGTAGGCGGCCTCATTAATGAACACAGGATACACAATGGAGTTCCCCTCATATAACACGTCCTCACCACTGAACAGCTTGAAGATGGGTTCACCCGGCCTCAACGGCTCAAAGTCGTGGTCCTGGGAGAAGAGCCAAGGGCAAGGTTGCTGGGGCCATGACCTCTGCCCCCCCCATTCCCGCCCCCAGAAGGGAGTAACTCCAGCCTTGCCAAGGAGCACTGCCTAAAAGCAGGGCTAGTTCTGAGAAATGTGTCATCAGGTGCAGGAGCAGCATGGATGTTTCCCACTATGCAAATTAGGACGGCTATGACGTCATCAGGAAATACCCTCTCTCCAGAATTGCTTCTATATACAATCTCCTCTTGAACAAAATATAGAACATGCTTATATTTTTGAAAGTAAACTCCCTAAAATAACTGCTACATAGCATTTGCATACAAAGCATTTGGGCAGACCTGGTTTGGGATGCTCTCTACCAGGTGTCAAATACTCTTGAAAATACTATGATTGCTTCAGGCAAAGGCCACAGTACTGCACAAGACCATGTTCAACAGCAACCCTGTGTAGACAGTCAACTCACAGACATAGGCTGCTCACATATCCATGGAAAAAGAATATTCGCACTTCCGATCAGATGGGTCCTGTCCCCTCCCCTCTGCTTCTTCAGTCGAAGGGCAGCCAAGGAGCCTCCCTCCACCCCAAGTGTGAGGGTTGCTGTGGCTTCAAATGCCAGGCACGAAGCAGAGCTTCAGGTGCAGGCCTGGACTGGACCGGCCTCCGGTCCAGCTAGGATTCTAAGGTACTGGGGGCTCTGTGGGACGCTCAGGGTACCCCCTCCCAACTCACACTCCCTGCAGCACCAACCTGCAGCTGAGGGTGCACAGTGCCAGTCAGGTCGCCGTCTGCTGTGCGTGGGAAGTCCACACTGCCCAAGGTCCTGTAGATGTCCATCTCAAAGGCAGGAAAGGCCATGCCTGTGTTGAGGTTGGGTGTGCCCGCCTGTCCATTTCTCCGTTTTCCAGGAGCCAGCCCTCTCCCCAGACCTGTTTCCCTGCCAGCTACTGTGGGGTCTCACCTTGGTTGAAGAGCTCAATGAAGTCCAGAATGGACCCCACCAGAGTTCTCATCTGTGAGAACAGGTCGGCCCGTAGTACACCCTGAGGCTGGGGGCCCAGCTCCAGACCTGGGGACCAGAAAAGGAGATGTCAGACAGGTGCCCCAGGTCCAGACACCTACCAGACTCCTCTGGGTCCTGATTCCACCCTCCAAGTGTCTGTCCTACCCCCTTCCAACTCCCAACTCCACCTCTCCAGGCTCTGGCCCTGACTCCACCCTTCTAGCCCCTTCCCCCCTCCTCCTCCCGCCTGACCCCCTCACAGATCCCATCCTTGGACACAGATTCCACGCTGTAGGTCTCCCTCCCGGATATATCATACTGAAAGAGGCGGCAGGGCAACCCAGGGTTCTGCAGCTGTGGGATGAGAAGGGCCAGTCAGGACCCAGGCCTTCTTGAGAGGGGAAACTGAGGCACTGAGGCTGGGAGGAGCAGTGTACAGGAAGCCCGGGGTCATCCACCCTGCCCCACCTCTCTCCCTTGGTTGGAAGGTTCCAGAGAGTCTGGAAGTACCTTCAGGTGGCAGGCCCCTGGGGACAGGGGACAGGCAGAGGTGACCACTCTGCCCCCTCCCTTCCCTCCCTCTCCCTGCCCTCTAGGAACCACCTGTAGGTAGTGACACAGGTGCAAGTTGAAGGGGCTGTGAGAGGCTTCAGAGATGAGGCAGACCCCAGTGTTGGCTGTGGTGTTGTGCAGGTCTAAGATGAAGTCAAAGGCCTGGTCTGTGCCCTTGGGGCCCAGTAGCTGGTTCAACTCTTGTGCTCTTGTCACTTCATATGGGTCATTGGGAGTGGCTGTGGAACTGTGGGGGAAGGAGTAGGGGACACCAGTCCCCATCATCTCAATCAGTGTCCTTTTTCTTGGCTAACTTTTCACCTTTGAGGACTTGGCTGAGATGCCACCTCCTACAAGAAGCCTTTCCTGACTGCTCTCAGCTACATGACTGCTTCATGTAGCATCCAACTGTGTCCCCAGTAACCTGAGGGTCACACCTTGGTCCTATTCCCCAATGTGAGTCTCACTCCAGCTGTCAAGAGTCTGGCCTAAGGTTCAGGGACTGATCCATCTTGCAGTCAGGACCGACTTCCTGGAAGAAGTGACATTGATCTGGCTCTCTCAAAACCAGAGGGTCAATGAGCAAAGGTAGGGCTGCCTTGCTAGCCACAGAGGCTTGTCTGCAGGGATGCTAGTACCCGGCTGTGGACCAGCCAACCTGGCCAGCTCACCTGAGGAAGGTGAAGGTGAAAGTGCGGTTGAGATCACGGTCCATGTAACGGCGACAGGCGGCTGTGGCTGCTGGGTTGGCCAGAACTGGCATGGCTGAGAAGCTGGGTCTCTGCAGCTCCCCTGGGGCCTGCAGCCAGTGCCGGATCAGGTGGATGCCACACATCTCATTTCCGTGGGTGCCCCCAGTCACAGCCACTCGGCGCAAGGGCTCCCGGGGCACGGGCAGGGAGCTCATCCCAGTGTGGAGCAATAGTCTACAAGAGACAGAGCTGGGACAGCAAGGTGAGCTCCCCGTGCCCTGAGAAGTCTGAGAGGTATCAGGTGACAGCTGTGTCCCACCTGTACCCAGAAGCCAAGTTCAAGGATACCTTCAGTGAAATTTCTGTTCCACTTGGCACCTCAGTTCTGCCTCTGGAACTTTCTTTGTGGGTGAGCTGCTCTCCCCACTTTTCTCTCAGAGGAGACACTTTCCTCTCTGCCTTTAGAAGGAGTTTCTTCCACCTGTGAAACCAGCACAGGAGCCGCGTTGGTGTTAAGGAGACGCATTGTCACACATTGTTAATAAGTCTCCATCTCTTAGAAGAATAGGCTCTGTTTCCTGTAAACCATGTTTCTCAACCTGTACTGAACTTGTAACCCGTAATGTATACCCAGCCTTTTACCTTGTTAAACCCTAAACACCTGTGGTGGCACCTCTTCTTGTGCCTGTCTACCCCCCAGGCAGCCTTGAGCCCTGAGTCCCTCACCCTTCTGTCCAGGCACTAACAGCAATGATCTCAACAGCTGTTTTCTATCAACCTAACCCTTCCCCATCAAAGGGACCTCAAAAGCCATTGAGGAGCTGCTCTCTGAAACCTGACTTAGGGGGAGGCTGTGGTCTGGCCAGTCCCTTGTGCTCCTCTAAATTCACCTTGCTTTAATCAAATAGCCTTGGAAATGGCTCTTTCTCAGGTCTAACATACCTAACCTAAGAGGGACTCAAACATTCAGAAGAGTTGGCTGGTCCCACCCCTACCATCATCACTACAGCTGGTGCCAAGCTTTCCAGGAGAGGAGACTGTCTCCCCATTAGCTGTGCAGCAAGTATCTAGGGTCCAGGCCACCCCTGCACCCTTCCTCTGAACTGGCAGAAAGCCTCCACGAGTCCTCTTACCTGCTGCTACGTGTCTGGGCTTCCCTAGGCCACGGGCCTGAAGTGTCCACCTCCTGGCCCACAGTATTTACAGGCCTGGAGGCCCCATGCAGGAAGTGTTTGTGCCCAGTTACTGGAGAGCTGGGGGTGGGTGGCTGGGCTGAGAGCCAAGCAGCCAAAGTTCGTAGGGCTCCACCCCCACAGCCTAATGGGTCCAGATGCCTGGGGCAAGTTCCTTGCCCTCTGCTCCTCCTCTGGAAATGGGGACAGTTTTACCTGCCAGAGCCTCTGAGGATTCCTGCTGGAAGCTGCACTTACCCTTGGAAAATTAATCGCAGAGATTCCTGACCTGGAATGTAACACGAAAAATAAAAGGACCCAGAGGCAGATATTCGGGTTCAAGCTGAAGATCAGGGAAGCAGAGCAGCTGGTCACTGGCTCACACCTCTAGTTCAGGCTGAAACGGCTGATCCACACACAAGCTCTTCACCAAGTCTCAAAGTGCTGCCTCTCCTCAGCGTGGCTGGAGAATGAATGCGCCTATTGAATGCTGAAGACCCTGCTTCTTTTATAATCCTCTAGTACTGGAATTAAAGGCGTGTGATCTGTTATTCTCTTTTTTATAGCCTAGTTCCTTTTTTATTTTAATTAGAAAGAAGATTATTTTACATGTCAAGCCCAGTTCCTTCTCCTTTCCCTCCTCCCCTGCCCCCCCCCAACTAACACCCTACCTATCCCATACCCTTTCTGCTCCCCAGGGAGGGTGAGGCCTTCTGTAGGGGGCCTTCAAAGTCTGCCATTTGGGATAGGACCTAGGTCAACCCCCTTGTGTCTAGGCTGAGGGAGTATCCCTCCATATGGGATGGGCTCCCAAAGTCCATTCCTATGCTAGGGATAAGTATTGATCCACTACAAGGGACCCTATAGATTTCTGAGGTCTCCTCACTGGCACTCACATTCAGGGTGTCTGGATCAGTCCAATGCTGGTTTCCCAGCTATCAATCTGGGGACCAAGAGCTCTCCCTTGTTCAGGTCAGCTGTTCCTGTGGGTTTCACCAGCCTGGTGTGGACCCCTTTGCTCATCACTCCTCCTTCTCTGCAACTGGATTTCAGTTCAGTTCAAGGTTTAGCTGTGGGTGTCTGCTTCTACTTCCACTGAAAGACCCCCGAAGAGGTACTTTCGTAGAGGGAGACCCACACCCAGGAATCAGCGAGGCCACGAACTGGATGTAAAAACAAGAGGCTTTATTGGAGACGCGGGTACCCGGGGCGACTTAGCTTCTGTGTGGCTAAGCGCGCCGAGCCAAGGGAGAGGTGCCTTTTTATAGAAAAAAACACAAGCAAGGAACAGGGATTCTATTGGATGGTTCAAATGAGGCACAGAGCCATTCCAGATCAGCATATTCTCAAGGTCTTGTGTCTGGTACAACAGACTTGATTCCTCCCTCCGCGCCCAGGTGGCTAAAATGGAGGCCGGCGGGGGCAGGGACAGCGGGATGAAGGTGAAGCAGGGCGGCTCTGCGGCAGCTCGCAGCTCCCGGACAAGTATCGCCCACGCTGCACTCTCCAGCCCCTGGCCGTATCCTGGCTCTGCCCTGCTCAGTCCCCGACGCGCTGCCCTAGGTCAACTGCTCTTCTCAGCCCATCCCGGCTGCTCCAGAGAGAACACCCAGCATCAGCATAGGCGGGGGGAGACAGAGAGGCAGCGGGCCTTTCACCACCAGCTGCTGGATGAAGACTATTCTTTACACTGATTCAATAACATGTATTTCTGTGTGGCCTTGAACTTAGATCTGTCCGCCTCTTAATCCTGAGTCTTAGGATTAAAGGTGTGTACCACCACCTCCTAGCTTCTGGATGCTGGGACTAAAGGTGTGTGTCTAGCTTCTATGGCTTGTGGCTGACTTTGCTTTATGAATCCTCAGGCAAGCTTTAATAAATCATAAAAAATATATCACTACACTGGAACGATGACTCCCAGTCCTCAGAAAGGGTTTGGCTTTTCTGACTGTGGAGTTGGTTCAGGGTCTTGTCCCATGTGGGTAGACAAGGCCTGTCTGGTGCTCCAACCCATCTACCCAGAGAGGCACTTTCCTTAAGGCTACTTAAGGCAGACAGCAGTGGCTAGTGACTTGGTTATGGCTGCACCAGCCTTGTACCTTGGGGGCCACCAGAAAAGAAGTCCCCTTCCCTTGGCCTCCTTAGCATCACCCTCTGTTCCTGCAGCTCTTAGGGCACCTCCCCACTTCTTTGAGGCTGGGACCCATGGGGTTCAAATCTTAGAGCCCATTGATGCTTCAAATGAAATTGCAAAATGTTTTGCCTAGTCTTTGTGGTTTCAAGGGTGCTATAACCGAAATGGCTTTGTTTGCTCTGTTTTGGGAAACAATCCTCAGACCCAGTTTACAGATATGGAAACCGAGGCGCAGACAGAGTAGTTAAAGGTGCACTGAACACAGGGGGCAGTTGGACCTGGAAGACAGGGTCTGACCCTTTCTGTTCCCTGCTTGCTGCCTTTATGGATCCTGGAGAAGGACAAAGGAGAAGTCCCTGTCCCCTGACCCAGGGCTGTCCTTCCCACTGAGCTCAATTGTCCACTGGCAGGAGCCAAGCACTGTTCAGAGGTTGCTGAGGAGAGAAGCAAGATGGAGGCAGTGAACCGAGCAGCCCACTTAACCGTGTAGTCCAATTACATATGTCTGCTGACTGTCCACACCTGGGCACCTGTGTCCCAGTATGCCCTCACTCTTAAGTTTGTTCCTGCTGAAGGTCCATGCTGACCAGATAGTTTGGGGCTTCTGGTGGCCAGGGTCCTCTGGGATAACTTTCCTCAAAGCCACTTAGATCACACTGACTCAGGTGGTCTGAACCTGCCCTCTTACCATCCCCCACCTTGTGGCTCTGCCAAGTCACCGTGGGGACAGCAAGGCCCTGTGGCTCACCGTTGTTCTCCCCAGGGCAGCTGTCCTTTGGCAGAGAGCTGAAGGCGATGATGTGTGATCCCAAGCACCTTTTCTGAGAGTCAGCAGAGACCTCCATGAGGCCTATGCAGAGGCCACTGAACCTTTTGTCAGCAGTTCCTAGAGCTGTTCCCCAAGCCCTCACCTTGTAGGTGGCAGGGGGTGTTGGAGGGGGTGAGCAGATGAGTTGGCCTGCCTCCTTCCCAGTCCCCACTGTGCTCCAGGCAAAAGCTTTAGTGTCACCCAGCTGCTGGGGTCCTTCTGACTTCTGCAGGGACTCAGAAGTAGGAATTGTTTGGCAACTTGACTGTTTGTGGGGGTGGCAGTGTTCAGTGCCCTCCTGCCAGGAGGTGCAGGGCTCCGAGCTATGGGGAGGGCAGCAGTGAGGAGTAAAAGCTTCATTTCCTTGGCGTCTCTGTTTCTAGAATGGAAATGGGACTGGGAGCCAACATGTAAGCACAATCGTAGTCTCTCTCTCCCTCTCTCTCTCTCTCTCTCTCTCTCTCTCTCTCTCTCTCTCT